ACTCCACCTTTCCGAACAATCTCCCAGCATTAGGTGGCAGATATCCCAAATCTCCCAGGGCAGCTATCTGTTGTGACACCTGCCACGTCGAGTACTCCTCCGCGCGATACACAAAACTCTCAGCCACAGCGTTAAAAACTGGTGGAGAAAGAATGCGCCGTCTCTGGAAATACTGCATCACCTTGGTTACGGTTTCTGCATGAGCGGTGAAGGCAACCTTGGGCACATGACGCTCAAGAGCTTCCACAAGAAAGTGGTCGCTGTGTCCATAGTGCATAAGTGCTGACAACACCACAGTCAGTTCTGCATCTGCAAAGTTTTGCACATGATGAACAGCTTGCTTGCAAAGCGCAATTACAAGTGGTAATGCTTGATTCTGTCTCAATGTGACTAAAGCACCTAGAATCTTACTAACCGCCACTGGGTCCATTCGTTGGGCCTGTCGAAGTGCCAGTGCGTTCATTTCATTCAGAAGCTCCAGGTATTTTCCATCTTCACCCAAACTATTTGCTAGCATGCAGTAAACAGCAACTAGCTCTGCCACATTCCATTGAGCTGGTTCTTTATTTTGGAGCTGATTCATAGCCCGTTTTACCATCCCACCGTCAGGCCCTTCCAATGCAAAGAAAGCCCTTGATATCCCACATAGCACTTCAACACTTAACTGTTCCAAATCCAATCTCTTCTGGCATTCGAATACTAGCCTCTGCATTAGGCGGCTCTGAGGGTCAAGGTAGAGACGTGTACAGCCCAGGAGAGCTCTAACCAAGACTTCATCCTCTAATCCGGCTGAATCAAGTTCCAGTCTTTGACAAAGTTTATTAAGGGCTAAATCTGATAGCAGTGTCTCTGGTTTCCGAAGACCACATGTGGCATCCTGCTCCAAGTCAGCCAGTCTGTGAAGTATAGATGCTGCTGCTGCAGCTGAGAGGACAGGGTAAGATCGCAAGAGAAGTAGAACTTGCTGAGATGAAGCACAGGAGGAGAGTCGTTTCATAAAGGTGTGGTCTTCATCAGAAGTAAGGTGGTGCAACAATGACAGACTACTTCCACTGGTGAGGAGCTCCTGGTAAGGGCGAATGGTTCCAGCTGCAAGGAAAAGTGGGTCTCGTTCTGTGGTGCATATACACCTTGGACTGAGGTTGGAACGTGTAGGAAAGCAGCCAGCGAAGGTTCGAAGACAGGGAGAAACCAGATGCTTACCAGTGCATGCTTTCAGTGATGGAAGGATTTGGTCATCCAGATGTCTCAACAAATGCAGCCTCAGTGCCAGTGTTTTGGCCATCGTAAAAAGAGCTACCATATCCTTAATATACAGTCAAAACAAAAGAGAGAACAGGTCAACAAAAATTAAACATCATCTACTAAACTTTTGGAATATAAAGCACAGTGTAAAGCTTAAAAAAAACATTCCAATTAAATATTATTAAATTGACATTTTATGTCTAATAGCAAAATGTGTACAAAATTATGAGGGTTACACTGTATGCATGATATATCCTACTGTACAACCGTTTTTCTTTTATAATGTCTATAGTTGTGTAGACACTATTATTTAAAAAAGATTTATCAAGCCAGCATAATAATAACAATAATTATAATAATAAGTAATTTCTATTTCAGCAGCAGTAAAAACTCTTGAATCATTTGAAGTGTGAAATCAACAACCTATGACTGATGAAAAAAAAAATGAACAGCAGTTACCTCTTGGACATGGGTCCAGTGGAGATTTCACACAAAGCGGCACAGTTTTAACAACTCATAGCTTCGTGACACAAAATAAAGTCGGGCTCCCTATGAGGCATAACGTACTTGACAGAAACTCTCAATGACTTTACTGAGAGTCACTCACGTAAGAGGTACATGAGTGAGACTTCTTCTTCTTCTTCTACTACAGTGGGTTGCAAACCAATTTCATTGGTGCATACCGCCACCTATGTGTGTGTAAAGAGAATTCAATATTTCTCACGTAATCCTATTTTTTCTATCCACTAATCCTAATAAATCTAAGATTCCATTAATTTGTTTCCCCCATTTTGACCATTTACTATATTACTTACTGTGAATTCTTCTAATTTAGTTCTTGATTCTTCCTTTCTCTTTCATTTTTCATTTCATTTTGCATTAACAGTGATAATATAAGTGTGTGTGTGTGTGTGTGTGTGTGTGTGTGTGTGTGTGTGTGTGTGTGTGTGTGTGTGTGTGTGTGTGTGTGTGTGTGTGTGTGTGTGTGTGCGTGCGTGTGTGCGTGCGTGCGTGTGTGTGTGTGTGTGTGTGTGTGTGTGTGTGTGTGTGTGTGTGTGTGTGTGAGTGTGTTTGTTGTTTGGGGGGCACAGAAGTGTGGGGGAATCACACTGTGGTTCAGTCTCTTCATGCTCCGTCTGCAAATTGAACAGACTGATGTTACTAATGGTGATATATTATTTCATAAACATTTAATAATAACAATAAGTGAATTACTTAAAAACATAATAATAAGTGTTCTATCAGCATATTTACATTTAAATATGCATATTTGTGATATTTACTCCCCCGGCCATTTTTTACCTTCATAAAAGCAAATAATTCCCTAACCATACTGTAATTGTAATTAAATTAAAACAGTTAGGTTTTGTGATGTGAAAAGAAAGATAAATGAAATTAAAAAAATATATATATATTGGACCTTTAATGTGAAATTACAACCTACATGCAATGCCATTGAAAAAAAATCTAATCATCAAGCTAATCTGTAATGATTGAATGATTAAAAATAAATCTCAGCTATTCTTGTAAGATTTTTCTTGGAGTATTTTTTTAGATGTAATTTAAAGACTTCTTGAGTGAATATCAGCAGCTAAAATGATTAATACATTTGACATTTTTGTAGTTTTTATAACAACCATTTAAATCACTATCTCAGCAAAGATTAAAAACTTACAATTGCATTAATAAAAAGTAGAACTTTCTACTTTTTTATTTAGTGCATAAATCTTAAAATGTATTTCTGAGTTAAAGTGACTCAAAATAACGGTGCATGTCCTAATCACACAATTGTTAATTAAACTGTTGTTTCACAGACAAGGCAAAAGCCTATTCTCAGATTAAAATGCATGTTTGAGATGTTTTAACTAAAATAACTTGCACCATCATATCTTAAAATACGTCAGTACTATTGTTATGTCTCAGAATGCACATCAGTAAGGTTTTTTTTTTTTCTAAGGCACATTTATAAGAGCTACTTAAATGCCCAAATTAAACTAAAGCTTAATCCTGACTTAATCTAAACCCTGGACATGAAACCGGTAGCATAAACCGCTAAGATTAATCTTACAAATCCATTTTTTTTTTCCTACAAGACTATTCATAGCTTTTTTTTTTAAATCATGTAAATAAAAAAAACATACATTAGCCCAATTTGATAGCGAAAAGTAAGACTGACTGAGCCTGACTAACAGAGTGCTACTAGAATTTAAGACACTGTATTAATATAATAGATTGCAACTGGCCCCCTTAAATCTATCATGACATTTTGTGCTTAAATGTATTACATTGGAAGATAATTATTCTATTGCACACATTTTTTCACACTTTTACATTATGTGCTGGTATTACCTTATAAACTGTGATTACATAAGTTGTTACAATGTGTTCATTACGTAATCAATTTCTTATACAATAACCTATACATTATGTAAAACATCATCATTACATTGGAAAATCGTTGTTATATTATGAGCACAAGATATTATTACGTTTTGACAAAAAAAAAATACATTAGCTACAGGTTTAATTTAACTGTGCAAAAAAAAAAATGCATAGAAAGAAAGCTCTCAGGAAAAATCATACATTTACTACAACAGAATCATAATATTTCGTTGGTTCTCTCTTGTTTTTGCATGTGTTCATATTCATAATTTCTTTGCATGACAGCCTGCCCAAACATTGTCAACACAATTTGGGATGTTTCAGTACTTATCACAAATAAAACAACTGATAACTACGCAAAATGCCTACAAAACTTAAAACATATTATTTATTATTTGGTTAAAGGGTGAACATGTCAACACCTTTGTTTTCTACTACAGTTCTTTCAAACTACTTTCAAACTGATCTTGAAAAACCATGTGGCAAAAGAAAGCCAATTTAATTAGGATTGCAAGCTTCCCTGGAGTTGCTGGAGCCGTTGATGGAACTCATGTTTAAATCATTGCTGTAAACGAGAACACCCATCAATACAAAAGGATTCCACAGCATCAATACTTATTCGTGATCATTTACACTATGCAAAGTATTTATAAAACTCGATTTTAAATATTTATTTTTTGTTAAATAATTTAATTATAATTAAGTAACTGGTGTCAAAACTGCAGTGACAACCCTTCCAGTGTCACTATTGGCCAATTCAGAAGTTGAGGGCAGTCATTTAGGGTTGACACACTTAAACAGATAACATACAATTATCTGCCATAATCCTGTGATCTATTTGAGATAACCATATACCTTGCTGATCCCCATCTTTAAATTAGATTTGACTGATTAAATTAAACCTTTTTTTGTCGTCGTTTGGGCTAGGCAAATACAATTTGAGATAGCTGCAACTGTTCTTTTGACAATGACTATTTCAGACATTACTCGTTTAGCTGACACTTTTATCTAAAAAACTCTGAAGCAACTAGGGGTTAAGAGTTTTGCTCAGGGACACATTGGTGTCTCACAGTGGATTCGAACCCAGGTCTCTCACACCAAAGGCATGTGTACAAATACTTACACTGTTAGCTTGTTATGGAAGCGTTAGTGCCACTGAATAAAAAAATAAAGGTAATTGCGACTTTTCATTCCAAAATTCTGATCCCCCCCGCCCCCACATAATTGGACATTATAACCTGCAACTGTGAGAGAAAAAAAAATAGAATTACGAGAAGTCACCAATATCTTATTTTATTCCGTAACAAAAGCTTCCATAATGTTCTGCTAGAATAAAGGTCATTCCATCAGCACAAGAAAACAAACACAAAACAGTGATTTCCAAATCTTTTATTTAATGAATACAAATCGACATCTACTTAGACTTCTGGCTCTGTGCCTGTGCCTTCAGTACTTTGACAACGATCTTCTGCTCCTCAATGAGGAAAGCTCGCTTGATCCTGAAAAGTGATGCAGATGGATGTGGGTAAAGTGCTCATAGAAAGCATTTAACTCAAGAGATTAATTAGAGCATTCCTAAATGAACGGTTCACCATAACATTGTCATCATTTACTCATGTTGTTTCATGTTTTCCAACAGAAGATTAGAATCCATTCAACAAATTTTTGCAGTGTACAGTGCCAATGAAATCCAAACACAGATTTCATTGGTTCTGTACTGTACAACCAATTCTTAATGACATGATTTGCATCCTTTTTGAACCTATAAAAATCTTCTGTCCCCATTTTAAATCATAAAGAAAAGAGCAATCATTACAATTCTTTTAGACATTTGCTTTTGTGTTTTGAGACAAAATATTTTTAGATTAACTATATTTTTATAAGATGAGTTATCGCCAATACCAATCTACTTGTTTACAAATATCTCAGTTAGTTACCTGTCTCGTACACACTTGGCACACATGGAACCACCGTAAGCTCTGCTGACATGCTTCTTGGTTTTTGAGAGTCTCATGAGAACCTGGGGCCTCACAGCACGGATCTATTGAGGGAAAAACATTAGAACATGGTTTCTATCATGTATTCAGATGTGTCAAGTTTAACAGCACATTTAAATGACCTATTTGGTAATCAAATTTGATTAAATTATTAAGATTGCTACATCAGTAGTAATGCGATATACATTTTTCCTAATACTTTTATCTTTAATTTGGTGGTACAACAAGTAATGCTGTATGTATGGTAGGCTTGCTGCGATGGTGATACCAGTGTTCAGCCACAACACCGGTTACATCACTTGTTGAAGTCCATAAGGAATATCTTTAGATTTGAAAGATGGATTATGGTGAGTTTGGACTCTTTAATATTAACAATGCTTTAATGATGTGCCATTTTCCTCAATTTCTGCATGCTTCATTGAGTTATGAGGGAAAAGGTGACTCCAGTGCTCATCTATATACAAGACTATGTGTGCCTGTGGGGGTTCGTGTGTTACAACTCCATTAGGAATATCTTTAGATCTGAGTAATGGATTATGGTGAGATGGATGGATTAAGATTGATTACTCTCTTTTTAATCGTGAGAGTCTGCTGAAAATAATGCTGTGCAATATTCTCTACGATCTGTACATGTTTCATGTAGTTATAAGCAAAAAACCAACGGAGTGCTTCATCAGTAGCTAGGTACATCTGTGATATTTTTTTAGTACGCCATGAGGAATATATTTAGATCTGATTTATGGAATATATTGAGTTTGGGTTCAGTCTTTAATCGTGAACTCCTGCTGTAAATAACTATGTGTGACGTTCCATGATCGATGTAGGTTTCATTAAGATACGAGCGGAATTGTGTCTTAAATTAAGCATCCATATATGATTTACATATGGGTCTCTTGAGGGGCTTCTTCAAAACATCGCTCAAGTTTAGTAAAAAGCCCAAAACAATTATGCTTGTATTCTACACATTGAGACCTTTCAAATGACATATGGCACAAGACTATCTGAGCTGTATGATGTATTTGACACATTGCAGTATGTAGTACAAAAAAGTACTTCATAAATTAAATTATGAAAACATTTTTTTCTATTTATCAGCAAATAACCCAGCACTACTTAGGAGTTTATCAAATTGTAGGGGTGTAACGATTCACTCGTTTTCTCAATGCATCGATTATAAATCCTGGCGATGCATATGCATCGATTCTGAAACATGCATTTTGAATCGTGAATTGTTTATTTACGTGAATAATCGATTTAAAAGGCTAAGAATCGAATTAATCACGATTTTATAGCGATTCAGTGGTTTAAAATATATGAACACAACCTTAAAGTGTTCCTGGTACAAGCTGCCTCACGCATTGGCCGTCATACAACGACATCCGCATTTGATTGGTTTCAGGCGCTCACACACCCCTGATTTCTCACGCTGAAGCCCGGTCGGTCAAATGCCTGAAAGATGAGTTTATCTTTCTACCTGTTGAGCTACTCATGTCGTGATCAGCTTGTATTACCGCAAATTAGTTAAAATCTCCCGGAATCTAGAGCGAGCGTGCATACGAGACAGAGGTTGTGCTCCAAACCGCGTATCGCGCGTTCACACACGGCTGCACGCACTCGGCAGAGAGGGAAAGCGAGCGAGAGACCACCTTGCGTGTACGGAGAGTCCATGTAATAAATGAATAAACGCGTTTTATTTCATAGTGCCCACGCAATGGCATGGCAGCTTTATCAATGGCTTGAGCGGTTTGCCTCAAAACTATTGCTTTCTCGACAGAGAGCTCAGCTGGAGATCGAGCTCAAACATGGACTGCTCAAAAATCTGTAGTTACTAGTTAACGTTATGAAAGCATGAGAGCTATGGGACCGAGCGCGAGCAAAATCCAGTGAAAAGATGATAACGAGTGCACTGAGAGGACGCAAAATGAAACTAATGAAAACGTCTCCATTAATTTGTGCATGTAGTCATTGAATGCAATACTTTAAAAGCCTTTTTCAAAATATTTGATACTTGCAAATGCTAATTTGTAGGCCATTGATTTTTTTTTTATAATAATATATTCATTAAAATTAAAAACAAACATGAACTAACATTAACAATGGACAAAATCCCCACTATCTGACCCCCGAAGGCCGCTGTGTAGGCTAATTCAAACCCAGACATAGACCCATTGGGTGAAGCATTGAAATAATACTATAATGCATATAAAAAATTAAGAATCGAATCGAATTAATCGAATCGCATCGAATTTGGATGTGAATCGCATCGAATCGTTTTGAATTTGCACAAATCGTTCATGAATCGAAAACCTATGAATCGTGAATCGAATCGATTCGCTGTCTACCCAAAGATTCACAGCCCTATCAAATTGGCTACATTCATTGTAAATTTCAGACTCTAAGCTTTCAAATGACACTTATTTTAAGTTGATTGATTTCAAGTTTTAGAATTTTAGAAAGAACATTGTGAATATTTGTGTTTTTGCCAATGAAAAAGTTCTAAAAGCAGAACTGCTACGCTTCTCCGCTTCTTAGTAGGGCTGAATGATTTTGGAAAATCACCTAATTGTGATTTGTTTAACCAATATTGCGATTTAATATGCGATTACTTTAAGTTCTTTAACTTCTGTATTATTTGACAAAGACAAGCAATAAATCATTGTATAGTAGGGATGGGAATCTTTAGGCACCTCATGATCTACTTTTTTTCATAATTAATATTATTAATAGCAGTTAAAAACTTTGTGTAATTATACGTATTTTTAAAATTAATAAAAAAATGGATTATAAACGAATATAGCATCAAAATATAAAAGCTAGTAAAAAAAAGAACAAAAACAAATTACAAGCAATAAACAAAGAGTGCTTTCAGTATTTAAAAGTAGGCTGTCTGAACATTTTCCATTGAAGAGCTGTGAGTGATTTGTCTCAGTTTAGATACGATATGGCTGCATTCACACTTATGTAGAGATCCCTTTTGAAATATTTGAAATACAAGATGTGATTTGAACTGTTGGTTTAAGATACGACTGACCGTGTTTACATTCATTTCGCGTCATAAATGCATTTTGAGATGCTACATTAACCAGAGCTGCTCTTCAAAGCATGCATGAGTATTTTCAATTGAAAGCAGCCTTCTCTGTGATTTTCATATTTTTAATATAACCCACCTACATTCCAAAAGACATAAATAATGCCTTAGTAGAGCATTTGAGAGAAATTCTGGGGGGCGAGGCCGCGAACTGCAAGAGTAACGTCAAGCAAAGCAGCAACCAGTGAATGTCCAGTAAAGCCTGCAAATGTCTTTGTAATTTGCTAAAAACTTTATGAAAGATAATTTTTTCGTAAGGTTTGAGCGGTTTCGAGATGCCCCCAGAGATGTTCATCCAAAGGTCTCTATTCTCAAACATTATTTACATCACTAAACATGCACAAAAAAATACACAGAACATCACTTACACCACGTAGTCTACCGGGGCAGATTCCACATGCTGACTTGGGTGCCTTGCCAGTCTTCTTGGTATACAAGTATACAATGCGGTTACCTGGAGTACGGGACCTGAGTAAAATGATGTAGTCATTATGTACAGCTTTTACACAAGACACTCAATTATACAGAAATATGTTTACACAAAATACTATATTATATGGGAACATCGGTGCATGGTGAAGATTATTTGAATGAATGCTGCATATAATAATGCAGTAATGACACTCACAGTCTAGTCTTGTTTGAAGCAGTGTTGTAGGAAAGCCTACGGCGGTAAGTCAGGCGCTGCACCATCTTGACCTGAAAAAAAATAACAAGATGTCTGTCTTTATGTCCGTATGGCGTATGCAAGATGGCAAAGCCTGTGCGGAGTGCAGGCTTAATACCGGAATAAGTATAATTTAGAGAGTAAACTACAAAAAAGGGACAAACACCTGTCAAATATGCGTAACTTGTACGAAATCAAAGATTATAACAGTGTCACAATTTCACTACTGTTGTAAAGACCGTCCCTATCAAATGTAAAATCGTAGTTTGATGTGTTATACGGAACGTGAATGATAGCTTCACCGTGTAAACACTAGTAACAAAATTGCGTTAATTAGACTATTAATTGACTTAATATGGCAATTGTCTCTTCGATTACACTGTGAACTACACATATAACTCTAAATATCACATATTTTATATTCAGAAACAGCAGATGACGGTAGATTACTGAATCATATTTTAAGCGCAAACGCAATCCACCATACCTTCTATCGACGCAGGCGGAAGAGGAAGAACAAGAGGCGGGGTGAAAGGTCAAAATCTGCCCGCAACGGAAATAATACGTTTACGGAGAGCAAAATAAAAGCAGATATTTTCTTTATCGGTCTATGCCATTTCTAAATATTATAATAAATATTCTATAGAATAGAATACATCTTTTTTTAATCACTGTAATGCAAATTCACTTATAAAAAAACGTAATCGACTGAACTGAAACCAAGCAAGACAGTAAAGACATCAGGACTTTTTATTGTGACCTTTACAAAGTAACGTTATACAGGCTATTTTTTTATTATTATTGTTTATTTTGAAGATTTTCTTTCTTTATTTTATCTTTATTTATGTTTTAATTTTCCCTTTCTTTGGTCTTGGTTTTGATTTTTTATTGACAAAGAATTGTAAATGTAATATAGCCTACATTATATTTATACAACACATATAGTTAGTTTTGGATCTTGAATCTGATTGGCTGACTTGAAACCGTTCTCATACGCTGTGTGTTTTTCTTTTAACACAATATGTTATATTTCCTCACACAAACAGGCTACTTATACTCTACTATGGCTATTATTGATTAATGGATAATATTTCATTTTCGTCCGTTAGTGATTGGCTGCAATGGATACAGGAGAGAAAAAAAATAACAGCTAAGATGATGATTGATATTATTACGTTTATTAAAAAAATAGTCTAAATTAGTAAAGGTATATAGTCTTTTTGATTATTTGTTGTCTCTATGTTTTGTTTTATTTTTCTGTGTTGTACTTTTGTTTTGCTTGTTTTTTATGTATTATTTTCATCCCGCATATCCACCATACCCTGACCCACACTCCAGTCCATTCGGTGGTGGCATTGAAACAAGAAGTTAGGTTGCCTGGCGCAAATACACAAGAAGAAGACGAAGAAGACGAAGAAGACGATGGCGTGGTTTAGAATAGACAGTACTCTGTTAATATTGTGCTGTTTGTAAATATGTTATTGAGGTCGGAAGCATGTCGAAGCCTTCTGAAATAAACATGACAGATAAGCGCAGTGTAGGGAGCCTGTGGTCCGCTGCTGACGTCTGGATCAAGAAACCACATGTAGTAAACAAGAGACTGTGTGGTGTGACAGAGACAGAGTACAGGGACGTGGACACTGCGGAATTAAAACAGGTTTTATCTTGTCTTCTGGGGACCAATATTGAGATGACTGATATTTATGTGTTTCTTCATGCTGATGTTGTGGTTGAGGACCATGAAATTGCAGGACGCTGGTGTGTTGGAGTAAGAACTATTATTCCCAAAGTGAATAAAACCGGAGACTGTCGGTATAAAGATGTTGTCATTAAAGGTGAGACACAGCACGGAATTAACCTGTTTGATATTTTGTCTTTCTTGATGATTTTTTTTTTAAAAATGTCTCTCCTTTTTTAGATATGGTTGGAAACGCAGTGACATTTATCCCTTTTGAAGTGAATGGTGTGGGACAGGTTACTCTCAAGAGCAGTAATATTTATCAAATCCAATTGCAGTTAAAGCCAGATGAATGGTGAGTATACTTGGATGAAAAAAAAAATACAGTGATTGGTATCACCACACTGATTAACCATTCAATGTTGTGTTTTTGAATGGAATAGTAAAGGCCTCAAAATGTGAAAATGGTTCAATACTCATTGAAGATTCAATATTCATTGAAGCCATGCTGAAGTTTTCATTTCACAACGAATATTCAATTAGTTGATTTAATTACAGAATATCAAATAGGTTGCGCGTTCATTGTCTAAAAAAATACAACCCCCATGTTTTCGTTGCTGATGTTGTGGTTCATGCAACCACACAGCCAATAACGCACCTAAAAGCTGTCAATAAACTTTCAGACACCAAAAAACACATTGTTTCACACCAAAGCATGTGAGTGGAGTGGTAATATTTCCTGCAGAGTGTAGAGTGCCTTTCTGCACTTTGTGACATAGATTTGCTGGTTTGAAAATATTAGGGCTGACTTCTAATAGTCGAGGATTCGATTCGGAGAGGTCTGATTCGACTATGAACGTTATAGTCGAATACTACACGGCCAGTTCAACCTCGTATAAATCAGGTTATGTGTGTCTCCCGCTCACGAGCGCTCACTCTTAAAAGACACATGAACAGACACACTGTCCCCAGCGCTGCTCGCGCGTCACAGAATGTTCATCAAGCGCTCCCCGTTCACAGTAACAGGGTCGTCTCATTCAAAAAAGCCAGTCGTTGCTGTCAGCGAGCCGCCGCACATTGAATACTCATATGAGTCAGGCTGCGAATGTAAGTTACGTGCCCACCCCAGCGCGCTCACATTAATAAACGCCTCACCTCCGACGCCACGCACTCGCTAAATTCTCAGCACATCTGGAGGCATAACGCAAACCCAGTCAAACGTTTGACTGCAGTATCTTATGCGCCTCATAATCCGGTGAGCCCTATAAATGAAAAATGTTCTAAAATAGGTCATTCATTGAAGGTGCGCCTTATAATCCGGTGCGCTTTAAAGTGTGGAAAATATGGCATACATCATGCGTTTTATATTTAGCCTAAAATAGACAAGCATTCATGCATGACAAAATTTTTTTAAGTTTTAGGAGGCAAAATATATTTTTTGTAATTCTGTGAATTACACTGCTCAAATCAGATGAGGAAGGGTTGGCTCTCAACAAAACATAAAATATTATTTTTCGTGTTCACAGAGGAAAAAATAATGTTACAGATGTGACAGTTCTCCGACGGACACGAGCGCTCTGAAGCAGCACTTAAAGACTGCTTTAAAACTTTCACAGACCTCAAACAGAAAAACACAAAGCCTTTCTTTAAAGTGAAGTTTTTCTTGATTTTAATTAATGTTTCATCAACCAATTGTCTGGATTTAATAAATAAGGAGGACAAGCAGACAATTAGCCTACTGATAATCAAGGCACAGAGGCACCGCTGTGTGAGCTCGTCTCATAAATATAGCTACCGCAACTCGGCGTATAAGTAGGCTATAGTCTACGCCACAGACCTGAAACGTATATCTATATTGAAATGTCTACTTGTAAATAGAACGATTCAAAACGAAAGAAAACGTAATGCTCTCTGCTTATGAAATGAACTGTGCGTTTCTCTCTCGCCCATGCACTATGCGAAGATCACACAGCATCGTCAACTTCATCTTTATTAATAAACAATTAAAATGTCTCCTTGCTATAGTATATTTGTTCTTTGTGACAGTTTTTTTATTTTCTGCAGCGCCGCTGCTACCCTTAGGCTAAAGCGTTAAAGGGTTAGTTCACCCAAAAATGAAAATTAAGTCATTAATTACTCACCCCCATGCTGTACCAACCCCGCAAGACCTTCGTTCATCTTCGGAACACAAATAAAGATATTTTTGATTGAATCTGAGGGCTGGATCACTTTTCCATAGACAGCCTGAGGGACTGCCTCTTGACGGCCCAGAAAGTCATTAAAAGAAAAGGTTTAAATATTCCATGTGCCTACAGTGGCTCAACTATAACTTTATCAAGCGACGAGACTTCTTTTTGTGCGAAAAAAAACGTAAATAACGACTTTATTCGACTTTCCATTACTTCCTTATGGGCGCATGCGCGAGAACTGAGACGAGACCGTTCTTCTTCGACTACTTTTTGTTACCGGCTGCTCACCGCTTAGGAGTTTTACCGCCCCCTACCGTATAAGATGACGTACTGCTTGTAAACAGAACGTTTTGCGCCTCCGGCTATATCAGTACGTCATTTTATACGGTAGGGGGCGGTAAAACTCCTAAGCGGTGAGCAGCCGGTAACAAAAAGTAGTCGAAGAAGAACGGTCTCGTCTCAGTTCTCGCGCATGCGCCCATAAGGAAGTAATGGAAAGTCGAATAAAGTCGTTATTTACGTTTTTTTTTCGCACAAAAAGTAGTCTCGTCGCTTGATAAAGTTATAGTTGAGCCACTGTAGGCACATGGAATATTTAAACCTTTTCTTTTAATGACTTTCTGGGCCGTCAAGAGGCAGTCCCTCAGGCTGTCTATGGAAAAGTGATTCAGCCCTCAGATTCAATCAAAAATATCTTTATTTGTGTTCCGAAGATGAACGAAGGTCTTGCGGGGTTGGTACAGCATGGGGGTGAGTAATTAATGACTTAATTTTCATTTTTGGGTGAACTAACCCTTTAAGTTACAAGTTACAAGCTCACCACCGTATCAAAAACGTGATTGCGTGATAAAAACATGAAAAATACTACCTAAACATAGCCTAACTGTTTAGAAAAAAAAACACAGAACGAATAGCCTGATGCGCATACCTCCATCTCTTTTGTTTGAAATGGAAAAAATATAGCTGCTAGACCTATCTAAAAAAAAAAAGGTTTGACTGTCAAACGACTACGGCAAAATCTAACGAATCAGATTCGACTATGAAAATCCTTAGTCGAAAACAGCCCTAGAAAATATATTAAGTAATAATATATAAGTAGGGCTTCCCCCGTATTAAGTTTTTTTTTAGGCATAGGAGACTAGTAGTTGTTCATTTAACATTAGTTGACTAATCGCATATTTACAGCAGTGCTATCACATAGACTGTATCTAAAAAGGAGAGAGGCTCGGGAGCGCGCATGCATGTCACATCCGATGGATTTCGCAGAAAATCCGACTCGGAGACTTCACATAGAAATAGGAATACTGGCCTTCAGAGGTAATAGCAAAACCAGTCAAGTGGATCATTGTAAAGTGTGATTACAACCCCTTCACACACAGGCAATAAAAAAAGGATTAATTTTAGAAGAAAAGTTACATATAGCACCTTTTAAATGTATGATATAATATAAGGAGCCATTACTCAATCTCAAGCGCACGCTTAAAGCTTGCCTCAAAGAACTGGCAAAAGTAGGCTATAAATGATTATGAATATGTCAAATATAGAAAAGGAGACATTTTAGTTGTTTATTAATAAACTAATGTTTTCTGTGTCAGTGTCGGCTGCAAAGATGAAGTTGACGATGCTGATTCACCATCTTCGCAGTAGTGAAAGCGCCCCTATAGAGAGAAATACATATTTACACACAAAAACAGACCACAGAGAGTAGTCTGGTTTCGTTTTGAATTGTTTTGGTAGACATTTCAAGCTTTCTATGGATATATTTCTTATGTCTGTGAGGCAAGTAGCCTATATGCTGAGTTTCAGTTCATTATTTCAGAGTAGGGTTGGGAATTGTAAGAATTTTTCCGATTCTGGTTCCACCAAACGATTCCGGTTTCTGTTCTGGTTCCCATCCTATATAAATTATTAAATCAACTAATAAAAAATAGTTGTAAAGGAAAAATGCACAATCCTTTTTGTGTTTTTTTTTCTCTTATAATTCACCTTTGGCTAAGCCCCCTTAGTTACTGTTGCTACTTCCGTCAAACTTCATCTGGGCTCTGGTTTGTGCTGTGACAGCCCTTCCTGCTGAAATGTTATCAAATTTTTATAAAGCAGCAAATAAAGTGTCCGATAGAAGTAGGCAAAGGGCGCTGCAAATGCGTTCGAAGGCTATATTCAAGACATACAGGTGAAACACAAGAAACAACAAGGCATCCAAAATATAGACGGAGGCTGAGACTAACAATATCAGGGAGCAACACTGTTCATGCAAAGCTGGGTAGGTCTCTATTCAATTCTATAATCGTTATTACAAAGCAAACAGACTACACGAGTAATAACGTTAAATTTATTAGCAGCGTGTGTTAGTGTATCAACCGGTATGAGAACCGATTATCATAACCTAAAAAATTATAGACCCCTTTTGCGCCGACGTCACAGTTACGTCACGGCGCTAGTTGGAGGCAAAACAAAGTGAAAACTGGAGGCGCCCAATACAAAACAGCACAGATTCGGCTACATAATAAGGAGCTTAAATAATTGTTACTATTATTAAATGTCATCTTGTTGTGTTGTTTGGTGCAAGAATTGATGAAAATTGAATATGCTGTATCTGGAACTTTTATTTCTAGAAAATATTTACATAATTAAAATCGCACTGTAATTTCACTCTTTACATTGTCGTGGTCTCGGCGCTGGCTCGGCAGAACTGCGGATCGTACACACAAGTCTTGTACAGGACCATATAGGCATCTAAAGATTTATATGCCCTCAGTTTCTCTTTACGATCGGTTTCTCTATAAGGTAGTTGTAGAAGTCAGGCCACTCAACCGAGGTAACGTACGTTAATCCTGTCAGATCATCCATGCATTGAGTGAGCGTGTAGGCGGCTACAGGTCTGCCAATCTGGTTCTGTCCGTTGAAAATAACTTGGAAATAACAATCGCGGTCCTGGACACTGAGTGACCTTACACATTAAGATAATATCGGATTTTCTCCAGTCATTGTTAAAAAACAAGCTAACAATCCTTGCTAACTAACTAGCGTTAGTGAAGCGGCCAGATGGATCTTTCTGCCTCCACCTAAGCTCCGCCCACAAAAAACGTCACCATGTTTACCAACTATAAAACAGTCTAACTAGTATAACTTCACAGTAAGGTTAGAAGCAAAAAAGATGTGCTTGTTGATATTTGAGGGGTTTAGCTGACTGAGGACGTCCACACAGTTTAATCCAAAAACGACACTTGTCAGGACTTGACTTCAGTTTTTGGAAGGGAAAAAACGGACACCCCCCTCCAACCTCTCTGGGAAACGCGTATCTGTGTTACAAATGCCCCAGGCACAACGTTTAACCGTATTTTTGATAAAACTACGACGGTAATAGCCTGCCGAGACCAAAAATATGAGACGGCTGCATTGAAAGTCAATGGAGCGCTGTGAAAAAGTGTTGGACCTCTGTGGGAGCTCGTTCCTGGCTGCGCTGTGATTGGTCAATCTACATTCTAGGGCGTGGCTTAGCCAAATGCGAATTGTCAAATAAGTTTAACAGACTGGTAAAGTCAACAAATTCAACATCTTATTTAGCAATTTTTGCAGGAAAATAAACATTTCTGCATTCTCTTGGAGAATTTGGGACCTCTCCTAGCTTATTGTTTCTCAAGCAGTGGAGTATACCCTCTCAGAAGTCTTATTAAATGAATGATTGTGTCTTGCGGAAAAACATTGTAGCCAGAGCAGTGTTTCAAGACGTATGATAATTATCGTTAATTTTGACCTCTGTACGATGTACGATCAATAATGTACGATCAAAAAAAATCCCATGATGTATGATAATTTCAGAATTTTGTGATACTACAATTGGAGGTCATTATAATTATAGTGCTTGTATATTCATTGATCTAGCTGTGGATATACGTCATGATTGTGAGGAGAAAGTGAAGGTGAGAGAGCACTGCAGAGTGGGAGTCAGCAATAGAGACAGTGGCCCTCATTTATCAATCTTGCGTAGAAACGGGTGTATATTTTGGTGTAAGATTATGCTTACACTCCTCTCACCGCCTGATTTATGAAGATGTGCGTACCTTTGAAATCCAGGTGTACGCAATGCCTGCCCTTGATAAATCCCGTGTCCGAAAACAATCGTCATTAGAATAACACGCCCCTAAATATTCAAGTCTCCGCTTCCCCCCACGCCCTTATTTTACGCCATGGACACACGGAAGACGGCAAAGAAGAGAAACTTCTCCGACGTGGAGACGAAATGACCTATCACAATGCATTATTTTACAGCACGTCTTTTGAAATTAGCATTCAATTTCGAATCACGTCACATGTATAATAGTGATGATGATGATGTGATGTGAAGTACCATTCATTCACATTAATAATTGCATGACAATTTGTAATAGTATTCTTCTTATTATTATGATTTGCAATAATGATGCTTATTGCTATTTAGAAGAGGGCTGTCGTTATTATTATTCCTATTATCATCATTTAAAAGAAGAAGCATGTATTTTTTATTATTTTGTCAGTCTGAATTATTTTTTGGTCATTGAAAGCCTTTCATTAGGCTACCGAACAGTCCGCGCACACCTGCCGGGGATAATCCTGAAACGTCAGGGTAAAGTGGGCTCGCAACTGAAGGAATATATGCTTACAAATCAAATGCTTTGGTAAAGTCACACAAATTAAACATTGAAGTCCACGTTACAAAAAATAAATACTGAAGTTTATAATTTCTATGTAGTTTTTTTGTTTGTTTGTTTTACAGTGGGTCATAATATATCATATCTTTTAGTTTGTCAGTTCGTTTTGTGGTGTTAGGAATTTTTCTGCGCATTTCCTCACTAACTCAAAACGTGCGTACACCACCTCCTGAGCTGGTGTAGGATTCGAGCGTGCCGTACGCCAACGTCCATATTGCTAAATCTCAAACTCACCGTGGTTTTGAGTGTACGCAAGGTGTACGCTGGAAATGTGGTGTACGCACTTTTGATAAATGAGGGCCATTGCGTCTGTGCCTCATGAAAGCTACACCCCGTGTAAACAATCCAGTCAACTCCCCCTATATATATATATATATATATATATATATATATGCTTAATGTACATTTTTACCCTCAGTTCTAATGCAATTAATGTTCACTTAAAAGTTTGTTTAAAGTGCCCCTTTTATGCTATTTTAAAGGCTCCTAATTTTGCTGCAAAAGGTTTACATGCATCAAATGTCAAAAAACTGTTTCATTTTCTCATAATATACATTGCACATCACAACATTTTTCATTGACTCCCAAACTACTTGATGGATGAATCAATGTCTGTAAATCCCTCCTTTCCGTGAGCCTGCTCTGCTCTGAGTGGCCAGACATCTCAGTCTGTTGTGACTGGTCTACCACGTGTCAAACAAAAACGCCCATTGCCATAACTGAACGTCAGCTCCATCCGGAGGCTTCCTTCATCTCAGCAATTGTACACACCATAAACTAAAGACCGTAACGAATGATGACGTCGATTTTACCATTTCAATCTGAGCGTGAGTCAGAAGATGAAACATTGGCAGAACTAGTTATTCAATCCGAACCTCCATTGCAAAAATGATTCTCAGTAATACACTACTCAGTTAGAGGTAAATTATGAGATATTGCTACTGTAATTCCTCACCACAGCATTAAGTGTATGTCCATCAACAAACCGATGTTTATATTTCTAATTAATTGCGATGCACGTGGAGTATCTGTATCAATAACGGTGCGTATGTTTGCCCTACATGAACGTAAATGACTGATGTAACACAAATGTTTGTAAAACAAATCTTGCTTCATTGTTTAACATTATTTAGGTAATAGTGGGCTCACAGCTGAGTAGCGGAAGTATTTCAGTAAGACAGTAATAATGTGAGTTAGCCAGTTACACAACTTACACAATATAAAACACAAAACTAAGTATTTTGAACAACCGGTAGAAAATATATTTAATTACATTTAATTTTGATTCTGAGGAGCAAGTTAGTCCAAATAAACTGGGTATTGACTCTACTTATGTGGTGTCCTGGTAAATTTTAACTTAATTATACAATCATTTTGTTAATTACAGTGACAATTAATGAAGAACTTACTATTTGTATACTAATATACACTCACCTAAAGGATGATGAGGAACACCATGCTAATATTGTGTTTGACCCCCTTTCGCCTTCAGAACTGCCTTAATTCTATGTGGCATTGATTCAACAAGATGCTGAAAGCATTCTTTAGAAATGTTGGCCCATATTGATAGGATAGCATCTTGCAGTTGATGGAGATTTGTGGGATGCACATCCAGGGCACGAAGCTCCCCTTCCACCACATCCCAAAGGTGCTCTATTGGGTTGAGATCTGGTGACTGTGGGGGCCATTTTAGTACCGTGAAGTCATTGTCATGTTCAAGAAACCAATTTGAAATTTTGAAATTCAAGCTTCGTGACATGGTGTATTATCCTGCTGGAAGTAGCCATCAGAGGATGGGTACATTGTGGCCATAAAAGAAGGGACATGGTCAGAAACAATGCTCAGGTAGCATTTAAACGATGCCCAATTGACACTATTTGGTCTAAAGTGTGCCAAGAAAACATCTCCCACATCATTACACCACCATCACCAGCCTGCACAGTGGTAACAAGGCATGTTCTCATTCTGTTTACACCAAATTCTGACTCTACCATCTGAATGTCTCAACAGAAATCGAGACTCATCAGACCAGGCAACATTTTTCCAGTCTTCAACTGTCCAATTTTGGTGAGCTCTTGCAAATTGTAGCCTCTTTTTCCTATTTGTAGTGTAGATGAGTGGTACCCGGTGGGGTCTTCTACTGTTGTAGCCCATCCGCCTCAAGGTTGTGCATGGTGTGGCTTCACAAATGCTTTGCTGTATACCTCGGTTGTAACGAGTGGTTATTTCAGTCAAAGTTGCTCTTCTATCAGCTTGAATCAGTCAGCCCATTCTCCTCTGACCTCTAGCATCAACAAGACATTTTCACCCACAGGACTGCCGCATACTGGATGTTTTTCCCTTTTCACACCATTCTTTGTAAACCCTGGAAATGTTTGTGTGTGAAAATCCCAGTAACTTAGAAGATTGTGAAATACTCAAACCGGCCCATCGGGCACCAACAATCACCTTATTTTTTCCCATTCTGACATTCAGTTTGGAGTTCAGGAGATTGTCTTGACCAGGTCCACACCCCTAAATGCAATGAAGCAACTGCCTTGTGATTGGTTGATTAGATAATTGCAATAATAAGAAGTTGAACAGGTGTTCCTAATAATCCTTTAGGTGAGTGTATTAACAATTTAGAGACCACAATAATATGAATTAACTATAAACTAATAGTTTTCAATTGATTTTAAATACTTTATTAATGTACACTTTATTAGCTTATGTCATAATACTCTATGTAGATGCAGCAGAATGCATACTATCACTGGAGAGCTGACTGATGAAAAAACAATATGGTTTCATGTGTTTTATTTTGTTTGTTTGTTTATTTGTTTGTTTGTTTGTGGGGTGGTAAAACTCTTTTCCAGGAAGTTGTCTATTCATGCTTTGAGGCCTGAACAGTGGTACAGTGATGGAGTAGCTTACCCTAAACTCTCCTGGCTCCATTCAGAACTTCTACCTAAACTATCACGGTGGGCTCTGGAGAGCAAGGCCAGTGAGTTTAAGAGCACCCTGTCCCTCATACCTGTAGAGAAATACGGTATTCTCTACCAGCAGCTGAAAGAAAAGTACAAAGCATTAGTAAAGGTAAGGGCGTGATTTTGTTTATTTTATTTAAAAAGTCTTGACTGTGTCTTTCCACTTGCATCAGTATGGCGGCAAATCAATGATTGTGGGGCTGTTTACACCTGGCCACTTCATGCGTTTTCTGTGACTGGATAGCTATCAGATTGTGAAAGGACTAGGTGTAAATGCCCTCCGAAACGCTTTCGCGAGACAGATTTGAATCTGACTGCTCAAACCACTCAGACGAAACTGGACAAGTGTGGGGGGTGGGCGTTGAAAAGGATATTCATATTAACGGCTCTGGGCTGCACTATTCATTCACACGGAACATACGATTTATACAAACAGGATTCGTATTTAAATAGTATTTGTGGTTTAATATTCACACACACTAGTCTATATCGCGATTTTTATTTCAAGTGTACTGAACCGCTTTCTATTTATTCCTCGAAAATATACAGTAAAATCCTTTTTTATGACTGGATTTCGTCAGGATTTTAGGTCGTTTTGGGGGGGCGGGCCGCCCCCCTAAAACAATGGTAGGGGAAACATTGGGGTTCTATTGGTTTACTGGATTATACTGTCTTATAAATACACTGTGGGTTTTCTTGCTATTCTAGTTGTCTGATTAATACTCCTCCATTCTTTTATTTATTCCAATGGAACGAACATTCTCTTTTTATAGTGTAAACTCCACAGAGTTGTTTAGGGGAGTGTTACAAAGTGATGTTGTGTAAAATGGAGAAGAGCGGAGCGGTCCAAGAACTGAACCCTGGGGAACCCCTTTGGTCAGTTGATGTGCTTTGTGCCTCACCTCTCCATGTGACCTTGAAGGACCTTCCTGTGAGATAGGACTCAAACCAGTGGAGAGGAGTACCTGTGATGCCCAGTGATGAGCAGGTGGACAGAAGGATCTGATGATTCACAGTGTCGAATGCTGCAGACAGATCCAGGAGAATGAGGACCGATGATTTGGAAGCAGCTTTTGCGATCCACTGGGCTTCGGTGACTGACAGCAATGCAGTCCCGGTTGAATGCCCTCTCTTGAAGCCGGATTGGTTGACATCCAGCTGGTTGTTCAGAGACAGGAAAGATGATACTTGGTTGAAAGCGACTCGTTCAAGTGTTTTGACAATGAATGGTAGGAGAGAGACAGGTCTGTAGTTGAGAGTGATGTGTTTAGCGTTGATTTTTTTTTTTTAAGCAGTGGAGTTACCTGAGCCTGCTTAAATGCTGTAGGGAAAATGCCAGTGTGGAGGAATGAGTTGATGATGTGAGTGAGAGCTGGAAGAAGTGTAGGAGAAATTGCTTGGAGAAGGTGTGAGGGGATGGGGTCTAGAGGGCAGGTGGTAGGATGACTGGAGAGGAGAAGCTAGATATATCTTTCTTGGTTAGTGGAGTGAAGGAGGAGAGAAGGTTGTTGGCTGTGGGAGAGGACAGTCTGGGTTCCTGTGTGTGTGAAGCTGAGAACTGACTGCTGATAGTTGTAGTTTTGTTAGTAAAGAAGTTTGCAAAATCATCAGCAGTTAGCAAGGAGGTGGGTGGTGGAGGTGGACAGAGGTGAGTGTTGAATGTCTTGAACGGTGAACGTGTGTTAGAGGCACTGTTGATCTTGTTGTGGAAATATGAAGATTTCGCAGCATGATCATCAGTAGAAAAGGCAGAGAGCAGAGATTGATACGTACTGAGGTCAGATGTAACTTTTGATTTGCGCCATTTCCTCTCTGCTGAGTTCAGTCCGGTGTTCACGAAGAACCTCAGATAACCAGGGGTTGGAGGTAGTAACGTGCGAGTGAGAGCTGTGGCCAACCTTGCAATTAGCACAGCAAAAGCAAATATCATGAGAATGGGCGAAACCGAAATGAGCTGAAACTGGCTGTTGAACAGTGCTACTTAAGTGCTGCAATAAAATACAAACTATAACCCTTTAAGAGCGCGGCATAAATATGATCAATACTTTGATCATAAATTCAAAATAGGAATGCATCTAATTAAAATACAGATATTTAGTAAAGATAAAAATTACAAATAAGCAAAGAATCGAAAATAGCCCTACTTACTTAACAATAAACAGAGCAACAGGAGAACTGGATATAAAGAACTCACGAGCCAGGAAAAGATAAGCGGTTATTAACCTACTCCCCACAACACTACTAAATACAGATTAGAAAATGTTTACTAAAGCACTGGCTTCTAGATTGAAAACTGGAATAAATTTATTGTCAGTCAATTTGCTGATGAAACTACTCGTTTTCTAAGAACTGAACGGCAAATACCCCAACACTTCAGTTAATGAAGATTTTTTTCATAATTCTAAATAGTTTAATTCTAAATAGGTCAAAATATGAGGTATTGGCCATTCATGTTGATCCTAATATAACATTGTACAGTATCCCAGTTAAAAACATTCATATTTCAAAGTTAAATATTTAGGTATTTAGCTATCTAAGACACTGGATGATTTAGAAAATGTAAATATGTATATAGTTTCAACATTTCTTCAGACATTCCCCTTTAAATGCAATAAGTATTAGCTGTGTGCAAAGTGAACCACATTTGGTTTTTGACCATTGAAAAGGGGAAAAATCCAACAAATTGAACTTGGAGCCATATTGAGATCCCCATGCCTATGGAATTAAATCATATAGGTCCTTGAAAATTTAAGAACCAGAATCTAAAATCATTGATTCAATCTAAAATAGAGACTTTTTGAGTGACAGTCTCACAAACTTTGGAAAAAGAATATTTATGGCACTCAGACAGTTGTGTAGATAGAAATAGACAAGATATATTTCTAGTTTCAACATTATTTATTGTTCAGGTATTCCTCTTTAAAAGATAAAAATATCAGCTGTATGGAAAGGGACCAACGTTTTGTTTTTTGGCCACTGAAAATTTGTACAGTTTACCAATTTATTCATGGAACTGCATTAAGATCTTCATATATCCTATTTTTAACAATATAAGGCATTTAAAATGAAGAGATCAGACTAATTGTTTGATAAAAAGCAAAATCTAAAAGTATATTAAGATATCTTTAATACTACTTGAGTTATGCATGAAAACTTGGGGTAAAAAACACAATAAGCGAATTTTTTAACTGTCACTGTTGTCATATAATGCAACAAAGAAGTCAACAGATTTTACTAATAGATGTACCAATCTCCATGTAAAAATAAAATAACATGGAGCCCATGTTTTAAAATATAAAATATTTTCTTCTTTCAAAACTTAAACTGTAAAGAAAACAATTTTTGAAGTGTGAAAATGGATTATGGATCAAAAAAGAAGAAGAAGAAAAAAACAACCCTTCTGTGCTTCTTAATTAAAGCAGTGTGACCACTTTTTGGGTGAGATGATCTGATCTGTTTGTCCAACTAATAGACGATGTTACACTTATCCTTTAACTACCTAAATATTTAGTATTACAGAAGATTATTTTTAAAAAATTGTGTTTCTTGTTGCCCATGCCATGTTAAAAAATCTCTTTCAATACACAGTGAAAACCAATCCCTTTAAAATCAAGAGTAGTTTGTATTACATGCATTGGTGGTGCATGTAGTGCTATCTACTGTTTATTGTGATGGCCATCATTACTGTGTCAGGATTTTAGTCTCATATACTATCCTTAATATGTGTTGGGTTTTGCTCAGATGTTGAGTATTACATTTATGCAATGTCGACAAATAATAGAAAGCTTTTAATTTTTCAGGTCTGGCCTGAAGTTACTGATCCAGAGAAGTTTGTGTTTGAAGATGTTGCCATTGCTACCTATTTGTTGGTAGGTTGGATAACTATTCATTGTTTATTTGGAAAATTATCTCATTTATATATGATTTAATTTCACCTCAATAATAAGTGAATACATAGGACCATATCATTAAGATATTAATAACTGGCAGTTTATGCATAAGAGACTTTATATAGAAAGCTTTAAAAATGTATACCGTGCTTGTTAAATAAATGGAGTAAGGCTGTAACAATAGATTATTTTGGCAATCGAGTAATTGGTTGACTATTTTGAGTAACCGGATATTTTTTTTTTTTTTTTTGTGGTAATAAAAGTAGACCTAAGCAAACTATAGCTTTCAAAATTACTTAAAATACATATACTGTATAATAGCAATTTAATTAATTAATAATTAATTTTTAATAAATAATTTTATGTTCAAATAAGTACCAAAAGCAAGTAATTGTATGTTTTTATAGAACAACACTGTTAAAATTCATAATATTATATATATAATTTAAACAATCAACTTATGTACATTATGTCTTAAAAATGCCTACAGAGGTCTCCAACAGCCTGGTGATGTTGTTGTCCCACTTTACAGAAGATCAAATCCTTGGTTAATATTTGCCAAATTACATTAATTAAAATGTTAACTTAATCTTTAATATTTGACCACTTTGATAGAAATGCTACAGTCACTTTAATTTCTTGAACAAGAATATCTGGACATCAAAACATGCAAAGCGAGAGTTTAAACTTTTATTTTGAAATAGCTATTAACAGTTCACATGTTTAGAAACATATTGATGTATTCTCCTGTCAGTCCTGTGTTGCTGTATGTTTATAAATTATTTACTTTACAAATCTGATGAAATGGCACACATTGCGTTCCCAAATGAACGTTATAAGAAACACATACTCAACATATGCAGATATGGAGTTTGACACTCGCTATGAAACGCACGTAACCTACACGCATGTAAATTATTAAACTGCATATATTACAGGGCATATGTTTATTTAAAGGGGTGATGAACTGAGAAATCAAATTTTCCTTGAGCTTTTGACATCTAAGAGGTCATCATATTATAAGAATATCCTGTAAGTTTCAGAACTAAAAACGTCCTTGTTAGTCCAATAAAAGCTTTTATTGACACCAGCCTCTGAAAACGACTCGTTTTTAAAAGTGGGAAACTATGACGTCGAAGGGGTTAAAACACCACCCCCGCAGAAGAAGATCAACACCTACTTCAACACGGCTGGTTTAGCCCCGCCCACCGATTCGCGCATTACACACATAGCTAAGTAGCCTAACAGTATGCCTACCTCGTGATGACAAACCGGATAGTTCTACCGAGCAATACAGAATATTGTTCAGTGCCTGGTTGTGGAAGAAGACAGTCGCTGCATAAGCTGGATTCCAATAGGACTGCATGGATAAACTTTATTTTTAATGATGTTCCAGCTGATGAGGGTGAAACATCGTCATCTGTTCGCTTCATTTCACTGAGGAATGTTTTGTAAACAAGGCTGGATTTGCAGACCGATTAAGAGTAAAGAACGGTGCTGTGCCATCTATATTGGATCTGACAGGAATTGTGCAACACACGGACTCTTGGTTGAACATGTATGGGCGAATCCGGTTGCCATTTGACAACATTGGACGTTTTCCCCCACGTACACCGACGGGTGAGTTAAACTCATTATAATATGCAAAACTGTTATCCACTCACAGCAGTGGGAGTTTATTTCCAAGTCTTCAGTGCGACACGCCCATAAAAACCGACCGTTTTTCAGGAAGGCTCACAACTTGGGTACAAAATAGCCGATTACTTTTTCATTTTGATGTTTTTGAATGCAAAAACCAAGCGAACGTTATAAGTTGACCTCAGACAACAATATAATAAAATTTTAAAAGCCAGTTCATGACCCCTTTAATTGAATCGCAACCTTTGTGAATTCACAAAAGCACAATAGTATTTTTATTTGCTTTTTAAATGGTGTTAATACATTGTGCATTTTTATAAAATTGTATAATAATGCGGTTCATGGATTCTTGTCTTTGGAATGTGCCACTTCCGGTATTTTGCCGGTTACTTGACATAGGTAAACTGGCAATCTAGGATTTTTTTTTAAATCAAGTACTCAAATTTATCGTGACCGCCCTAAAATGTTGTCATGAACATCTGAAAAAAAAAAACAGTATCCCTTGGTCACCGATGCAGGTCTTGTGGGGTGAAGAGCGTGCTGAAAACGGAACAACAACCAAACAGTCCTTTGTGGATCTCGGCTGTGGAAATGGCCTCCTGGTTCACATTTTAAACAACGAAGGGGTAGGTTAACTAATACATCTACAGTGTTGAATTACTACACTATGGACCATATCTCATTCCTGTAAATCACGCAAGCAACTCCCCTAGTGAAACACTTTTAATTTGTTAATATTAATCCAGTATTAAAATCAATCATACACCCATCTATGTTCTTTGGCGTTTAATTAAACTAGGGATTTGAAATTTGACTCCTTCCCTCTCAGGGCTTAAAGGGAATTATTCACAGTTACTGTGACGTTCTCTGTTATGTTTTGATTAAACTGACCGAGGCCTAAGTTAGTCTTGCACTTCTGGGTTTCAGCATCCTGGAAAAGGCACTGACATTCGCAAAAGGAAGATCTGGGACATGTATGGGCCTGGTACTCATCTAGAGGTAAGATATGTTTGAGACATTGTAGTGTCATTGATAGTCACATTATTCATTTTATAAGATGCTTTAGGCCAGTTTTTGTAACCATTTATAGCAGTTTTGCAAGATTTACAAACTCACCTTTTTATTGTGCTTTAATCATTGGTGAGCATGAAAAGTCCATAAAGTTGTTTTTATTATAAATGTCTAATTTTAATTTACTCCAATATGTTGACAGTATAATTAATCAATCCTTATTTTGATTAATAAATAGCAAAATAATGCCAAGCAAGGTGCAAATTTTCTTCAGAAAATGTTGAAATGTAGTTGCACTGTTTTGAGATTTTTCTATTAGAAAAAAAAGTTTCACTAAAGTTGATTTAAAATGAATAATGGACATTCAGACAAATCTTTGATTATAATTTCCTTCCCCATCTCTCAAGAAAATCTAAACTTGTTTTCCTCTCTGTCCTATTCAGTCAATGTTTGATTTTAGTTTTTGTTGCTATCCTCAAACTGTCCAAATTTTTTTCTCCTTCCTTTTTTTCAAACATTTTCTGAGCTATATTATTTATAATGTCCTGCCCTGAAAGAGTTGAGATGCTTTTGTGGCAATCTTTTGATCTTAGAAGGTGCATTCGTGCACCAGTGAAAACCTTAGCATTTCAAACACATGGTGGTATAAAGGAATATTTATACACATTTCTAAGATATTTTATATGTATAAATGACTGAACAGATTTTTTTTATTATTCATCTTTGTTCTAAAGTTAAGATGTAGCGACTAGGGCTGTGAAACGATTAATCGCGATTAAAATAAAAGTCTGTGTTCACATAATATGTGTGTGTAGTGTGTATAATTATTTTGTATATATATATATATAGAAATACACATGCATGTATATATTTAAGAAATATTTGCATGTATATACTTTATATATATTTATACAAAATTAATATTATACATAAATATAAATATTTGATATATTAATAACACATTTTTCTTAAATATATATGCATATATAGATAGATAGATAGATAGATAGATAGATAGATAGATAGATAGATAGATAGATAGATAGATAGATAGATAGATAGATAGATAGATAGATAGATAGATAGATAGATAGATATACACACAAAATAATTATACACACTGCACACACATATATTATGTAAACACAAACTTTTATTTTGGATGCGATTAATTGCGATTAATCGTTTCACAGCCCTAGTAGCGACCTTAACAATGCTGACTGAAAATCGGTTCAGACGCTGTATCTCGGCAAAACTTTGATCAATTGAGATGGAACTTGGTAAGCTTCAAAGGAACCATGATCTAAGGGTCCATGCCAGATTTGGGAACAGTGCCACCTACAAGTCATGAGATCTGGAAAATGGCTTTTTTTTTGCTCATAACTTTTGAACAGTTTGTCAGAAAACTTTAGCTTGGTTTCTATAGACTCATCCTGTCCTGCCGAATCTGATCATTTTGAATTTTGTTATAAATTGCAATATATTGTAAACAATTTGACATATTGGCACAAAATTATATAGGGATCTTTGACCAAATGCCCTGAAGGTATCTGAGAAGCTTTTAACACCGCACAACCTAGTGTTCCCGAGATATAAGTGTTTTTGCCAAAACTTTATAACTTTGAAAACTGTCCAAATTTAGTTTTCTCTGTGTCCTGACTCCTTTTGTTCTCTGGCTTATGCCTATTTGGACGATATGTCATTTGCCGTCAATTTGCTTGTCTGCCGTATTGAAGTAAATGAAAAAACTTCTTTTTTTCCACTACTCCTACAAATTTTGATCGGATGATATTTGGACCAAGCCACACAGAAATGACTGAATGGATTTTTGAGCCTCTTGGTGTATTCCTTTAAGTACTCAGATGGAGGCAGAAACGTCTTTCACATGGAAACGTTTGATGAGCGAACAATGAGAATTTGCTTAATCATGGTGTCTAGGATTTTACACCTTTTAAGGACAGAGTGTCATTTGCGTGAAAGACCCACCCTCCCCTGTAAGCCAGATACCTCTAGACTCTTAAAAACTTTATTACCTTTCAGGTTTACTTCTGTAGGGATGAGACCATTGTACCAGTCGCACTGAGACATTTAAAATTATACCAAACATGTTTAGCGTTCAAGGCTTGACATTAACACCCGCCCAACCCACCAAATGCAGGTGGATTTCACGTGCGGCGAGTAACACAGTCACTCTCACTAGCCACTTTGGCGTGTTGAAAAATTGTAGTCTTGTCAAAAGACATCTGACATAACAAACGAATTGCATTTGACACTATGACACTACAACTCCCATGAGTACTACCTGCACATAGTCTAGTGTTTGCTCATTGGTCCATTCGGGAATCTTCTTGAACGACATTAAACAAGCGGAGATTAAACTCGCAGACTGGGGTCTGTTTTAGTCTGCCCTTAACTATCAACTTTATGTGATGATATAGCAAACTTTTTTAATAGCAGGAGAATCCAGACCACAGGCGCGTCTCACGCTCTCCTGCGGTGCCGCTGCGCAAGGGTGTGAGCACCAAATATGACATCCAGACTTTTGTCAAACGATCGTCACACGAGACTGGTGCACACCCACATTAACACAGCATTCAATCTGTTTGTGAGTGTGCGTGGCCGATATAAAGAAAAAATTATCTTCATGATTAAGGGACATGCTGTAACTAGCAGGGCTGCCCTTATGTCATGTCATATCATATCACAGCTATCTTTCCAGAGTTAATTCTCTGTTTTAATTAAATTAATCATTCCATGAAGGAAAGCAGGAGATGCGTTTGTGGGAATAATCTGGAAAATAATAGACCTGTAGGCCTATACTTGTTTCAGGTAGACATATCTCCAGTTACTCAGAGCTACCAGAGCTTCATGATGATAATTATTAAAGGGATAGTTCACTTTGAAATTAATTTTTGATATGTTTTAGCTCACCTCAAGGGCATCCAAGATGTAGGTGTCTGTTTCCACAGTATTTTCAATTTTGACATTTTTCAGTCAAACCGTTGTTGTCGATCAGTCATACACTGGAGGCTAAGGGGGTCCACCAAAAAGCATGCACAGAGAAGTCAAAATTAAACATGATTTAATGACTCGTAAATGTAAGTACACATTGATGGCCTAAGACACGAAATGAGCTTTTTTTGTGAGAAAACGAACAGTATTTATATCGTTTTTACCTCTTGTAATCATAGCCATGACAAAATGATCTGACGGCACGGGCGCTTCGGTCTGCGCATGCGCCGGAAGTGATCGCTTGCGTGCCTACGTCACTGTTTGTTTATACAGAAATTTCGGAAGTTTTACCTTTCACTAACCTCAAGTAAAGGACTAGATGTTACAATCCCGGAATCCACATATCCCACGATGGATAAACTATAAAACTATATAGTTATATATAGTTATATATATGTCCTATATAGGACATTGTACAACTGATTCAGATCACTTGGACGTCACTGTGATTACACAAGGTAAAAACGATATAAATACTGTTCGTTTTCTCACAAAAACCGCTCGTTTCGTATCTTAGGCCATCAATGTGTACTTAGATTTACGATTCATTAAATCATGTTTAATTTTGACTTCTCTGTGCATGCTTTTTGATGGACCCCCTTAGCCTCCAGTGTATGACTGATAGACAACAACGGTTTGACTGAAAAATGTCAAAATTGAAAATACTGTCGTAACAAAGACACCTACATCTTGAATGCCCTTGAGGTAAGCTAAAACATATCAAAAATTAATTTCAAAGTGAACTATTCCTTTAAGTCTTAATTATACTTAATTATACTTGCGTACTTAATTATAATTAAGATAATTATAAGGAAATGCTGAGGCAAAACAAACTGTCCCCAAAACTGGCATATAAGCCTATATAAAGTTGTAATCCTGTTGCCTTAATTGTGGATTTTTTCTTAGAACAAATAATTTATTCTTTGCTCATTGTTTCTAATCCAGATAATTGTTCTACTGTGTATTACAGTTCCCTATCGTAGTCACTTCGAGTTACGTCAGAAGTGACGGAGATTGGGGGTTTCGCATAGAAAGCCAATCCTCTTCGAGTATTAAAACACGAGCCAATGGCATGCAATGCCTTGGGGCTGCGGAAATTTGCATAGCGTACTCCGCCCTACTCCGTGAGTATAAAAGGAGGAAGTGAACGCAACCGCAGTATGTTTTCGCTTCGGAGCCAAGAGAACCTCTTCACTCCTGAAAGCACTGTTCAAGACTCTTCGAGACGAGCGTCCTCTTCAGTGTTGGTGTGACGGCGGTACCCAGCGAGATTCTGCATCGCCTGCGATCTGAGCAGTGGTCTGCCAGACTTTGCGCTTCTCCCTGGTCGCTTCAGCGCTGAAAGAGTGAATTTCCTCCTCTCATTGAAAGAGCTGCACGCGCACGTCTTTTTAAAGACGGTTCGCCCGTGCTCTTCTGGGTGTGATTGATTTCTGTCGTCATCTGATGGTCACGATCGCTGCTTTGTATGCCTGGGCATTTCAGCATGCAGCAGCAGCGTTCGTGGATGACTCATTTTCCTTCTGTGGGAACATGACCATCTCTACACTGAGGTCGAGACTCAATGATCTCACTTGAGTGAGAGTCCCGGTCCCCCCCGCTCGATCGGTTTCCTCCATAGGGGGCCCGTCGACCCGGGGACCTGGTGATTTACGGTGATGGTGTGGGATAAGCCCCGACGATTTCTCGGGCCACGCCTCCCGCCTCATTGCGAGAGCCAGCGAGCGTTAGTTCGATTCAGTCGGTTGCTTCTTCGGTGGCACCGGCTGCTTCGGGCAGCGCTCCAGATGATGATGCGATGTCGATCACAGCATCACTAGGCGGGCTTGACTCCTCGGGAAGTGAGGATGCGGCCGCGTTGCCTCCCTCGGGAGCGTCAGCGCCGCCGTGTCTGATCCCGCGATGATGGCCGTGCTATCTCGGGCGTCCGTGAGCATCGGGTGGGGGTGGAACTCCGCCCCTCCCCGATCTCTCGCGGCTGAATAATTGGTTTTTGGGTAACGCTGCCGCCTTACGGCCACCGCCAACCCCAATTTCCTTTTTTCCCCGAGTTGCATGCGGAACTGACACGCACTGAAAAAAAAAAAAAAAAAAAAGCGTGCTTAGTTCCCCGCCCTTCCTCCCCTCGGCGATGCGGCTGTCTGTGGGTACGCTGGGGCTCCCCCGGTCGACCGGCGGTTGCTCTCAGATGCCCCTCCAAAGCCTATGGGTTCTCGTCGTCTATGGCGGCGCGATTCTGTAGAGCGGCGGGACAGGCAGCCTCCGCCCTGCATATGATGAGCACCTACAAAGCTAGCTGCTCAGGAATGTGCACGAGGAGGTGACGGACCAAGCGAGCTGCGAGCCTGTCGCCTACCTTGTCCTTAAACGGGTCACGGAGGCGGTCGCTCGCTCCCTTGGTCAGGTGATGCCCACCGCTGTGGTCCAGGAGCATCATAATGTTCGGCGGTGCGGTCCAGGACTTTGCCCAGCACTTCTCGACCGCCTAGGAGCAGACGAAGGCGGTTTCTCTGCCCCGACGGCCAGCTGCTGCCTCCAACCAGCCGTCGGCTCGGACGCCTCCGCCAGCTCGCCGCCGAGGACGCCCCCCTGCGGCTCCCTTCCCTCCCACGCGGCCCCAGCAGCAGCCTTCAGCCGGTTCGCGTCGCGGAGGAGGCCACAGGTAAGCGTCCCAAGAAAAGAGCCCCCCTCAGGCCGCGTGCCCCGCTAGATGCCAGGCGAAGCGATGTTCCTGAGGCGGGCCGCTCAGTGATAGTGTCATGGTTTTTCTCAGGAGGCGGTGGCAGGGCCCCTCCTTCCCCGGTGGAGGGCCGGTGGAGAATCTTTTGTTCTAGCTAGCTCCCTGAGCTGGTTGAGGAAAAGCTGACACTGTCATTGAGCACACAGACTGGAATGAGCGCGCACGACGTCCAGTGCGTCGCCCCGTTCATTCCTCTCTGTCTCGGAGGGCGCGGAAGGGTGCGTGTGTCGTCCCCGGGCTACGCCAATCCCTTCCCCTCTGTCGCCAGACCCCCGCAGAACAGACCCCGTGGAACGCTCTGCCTTCCCTGGTCTCTTCTGTCGGGGAGCGGGTTTCGACGGTGCATCCGGACGGGGTAACTCCTGCACGCATGCCGGTCGACCCGCCTCGCTGCCCCTCCGGGGGACGTCTGTGGTTCGCATGACCCCGTTGGCTCACTTCCTGGAAGCCTGGCTAGCGCTTCCCGGGGTTCCCGCTGGGTCATCAGAACGATCGGATTCGGCTACGCGATTCAGTTCGCACGGTCTCTTCCCCGCTTCAGGGGAGTTCGCTCCACGATGGTTGGTGGCAATGCCCCAGTCTTGAGAGCGGAGATTGCGACCCTGCTGGCGAAGGGTGCAATCGAGACGGTCCCTCCAGCCGAGGTGAGGTCCGGGCTTTACAGCCCCTACTTCATTGTCCCCAAGAAAGACCGGTGGGTTACGACCGATCCTGGACCTGCGCATTTTGAACCGTTCTCTCCATCGACTACCGTTCAAAATGCTCACGGCCAAACGCATTTTCGAATGTGTTCGGTATCAGGATTGGTTTGCAGCGATCGACCTGAAGGACGCGTACTTCCATGTCTCCATTCTCCCTCGACACAGACCGTTTCTTCGGTTTGCCTTCGAGGGCCAGGCATACCAGTACGCCGTTCTCCCATTCGGGTTAGCTCTGTCCCCTCGCGTCTTCACGAAGATCGTCGAGGCAGCCCTTGTTCCCCTTCGCGAACACGGGGTTCGCATCCTGAACTATCTCGACGACTGGCTGTTACTAGCACACTCTCGAGCTCAGGTTTGCGAACACAGAGACCTGGTGCTACGGCACCTAGCCCGTCTGGGCCTTCGGGTCAACCGGGAAAAGAGCAAACTTTGCCCCGTGCAGAGGATCTCTTTTCTCGGCATGGAGATAGACTCGGTCGCCATGTCCGCGCAGCTCACGAACGAGCGCGCGCACTCACTGCTGGCTTGTCTTCGACAGTTCGAGGGCAAGAGTGCGGTTCCACTGAAACTATTTCAGAGGCTCCTGGGGCATATGGCATCCGCGGCCGCGGCAACGCCGCTCGGTTTGCTTCATATGAGACCGCTTCAGCTGTGGCTTCGCGATCGAGTCCCGAGGTGGGCATGGCATCGCGGCTCGCTCCGAGTTCCAGTGACTCCGACGTGCCGCCGATCCTTCTTCCCGTGGTCGAACCTCAGCTTTTTACGGACTGGGTCCCTATTCAGCGAGTTTCCAGGCATCTCGTTGTCTCCACGGATGCGTCTACCACGGGTTGGGGTGCCATGTGCAATGGGCATGCAGCCGCCGGTTCCTGGACAGGAGCCCAGCGCCTCATGCACATCAATTGCCTCGAGCTGTTGGCAGTACGGCTCGCCCGGCACCGCTTCCGAGCGTGCTCTAGGGCCAGCATGTGCTTGTCCGCTCAGACAACACTACGGCAGTAGCGTACATCAACCACCAGGGGGGTCTACGCTCGCGCCGGTTGTCGCAGCTCGCCCGCCACCTCTTGATATGGAGTCAGAAGCACCTGAGGTCCCTTCGTGCAGTTACATTCCTGGAGACCGGAACCGGGCAG